AAAATTACTCAGGATAGTTAGTACAAAGTATACTGGGAAGAGTTAGAAAGGGATCTCACTAAACTGGGTGACTGGGCAACAAAAGGGCAGATGAAATTCAATATTGATAAAGCAAAGTAATGCACAGTGGGAGTCATAATCCCAACTACAGTATACATACAAAATGTTGGCGTGGAATTAGCTGTTACCACTCAAGAAAGAGATCTTGGAGTCTCTGTGGATAAGTTACAGAGAATCCACCATTTACCCTAGTTTAAACCTTCAAGTGACCCAGGCCCCATGCTGCAGAAGGTGAAAACCCCCAGTCTTTCAGCCAATTTGAGCCAAGGGAAAATTCCTCCCTGACCCGAAATATGGTGATCAGTTAAACCCTAAGCATCTGGGCAAGACCAACCAGCCAGATCCCTGGGAAAGAATTCTCTGTAGTAACTCAGAGCCCTCCCCATCTAGTGTTCCATCACTGGCTGTTGGAGATCAGCTACATGTCGTTGTAGGCAGTCTCCTCATACCGTCCCCTCCATAAACTTACCAAGTTCAGTCTTGAAGCCATATAATTTTTTTGCTCTCACTGTTCCCCTTGGAAGACTGTTTTTAAAGACAGTGCAGGATACACCAGTCAAAACTGGTAGCCCCAGGGCTGATCTACCCCCTGTTTCTGTAACACTTGATATATGTTTAGAAACTGACTGTTAAGGCAGTACAACCCCCACCTGTGGACACAATTCTATCATTATAAAGTGCCTTTATACCAGTAACAGAAATAAGCTATCCTGCTAGAGACATCTTATATTGATAAAATTGTGCCCAGAGGAGGGGGCTGTACTGCTTTAACTGCCAGCTTCTAAACATATACAAAGTACTACAAAAAAACATGTGCCCATCCCCAGGGCTGACCTAATGGAGGTAGTCTACAGCTTGATTGAACTGTTTTGACTATAGATTCTACCATATTATAAAAACGGTGTAGACAAGCCCCTCGCAGGGGGAATAGATACCCATCTACCCTTCACTTGAGAGAAGACCAGCAGCTTAATACCACCTACTCCCATGTACATGCCCACTGAGACAGACAGACTCCAGCATGTGGCTTTACTGCAGCTTCAGAAAACAATTGGAGAAGTAACTTATTTCAGAGGTGATGGGAGAGTTCCTGTGTGTGAAACGCTTCAAGGTTCTCAGATTAAGTGTGGCACTGTAGAAATGCAGTGTTGTTGAGCTTCAGTACATTTCTTCATTGAACCTGTCACACTTTGACATGCCCTTTCTCTAAGCTGTTCTTCTACTCCTTTTCCCCGCTCCTGGTTGCAGGGGAAGGTAGGCAGGCTGAAGAGTAAATCCTGAGAATTACAGAAACATTTGGTAGTAAGGAGGTGGTGCAAAACAGGTTTCACTTGGACAACCCCGTCTACCACCCAAAACCTGGCTGAGCAGTCCCCATGCTTTTAAATAGCTAGTTGTCAGGTATTATCCCCCAAGAAACTGGCCATTAGTTTAATATTTAACATGATTTTAGCATTCGCTCTTTCAGGTGGCTGTACTACATTTTAATATAAGAGGGAAACTTGTGTACAGCTTAGCTGTTCCTTAATACTCCAAGTTCACTGTGGCATGGGGATGGTACTGGACAGCTGTCTGTATCCATTCCTTGTCTTTATACTTAGATTGTAAGCTCCTTGGGGATGGATTCATCTGTTTTTGTATAGCACCTAGCTTCGTGGGGCCCTGGTCCATGACTGGTGCTTCCAGGGCACTCTGGCAATACAAATAGTGGTTCAGCAAGACTGCTGATAGAGATGAAAAGATGAGGAAATCAGAGCAATGAACCAAAGAGCATATCACTAAAACAACATTAACAAAACCATGTAACTTACATTATGCTTATCAGTCAGTTTCATCTTCACCTTGTCATGTTCTCCTTTCATTACAACTGTCCTCTGCACTGGCTTCCCATAGAATTTCAAAGCAAGTTCAAGATCTCGGTCCTTATCCTCAAAGTGCTTCATAGCCTGCACCCACAATATACAAGACCACTGAAAGCTCTGGGACAAAGATCTTGGACAACTATGCTCTTGTAGCACAACAAAATTCTCTACATTAAGACTAAACCTTGTCTGTGTGGGTGACAGAACTTTCTCAGAGGGTGGCCCAACACCCTGGAATAAATTCCCTGCGAAGCATCATCACAAACCTTTCTGCTCACATGCAAAGTGCATTTCTTTGCCTTAATCTTCTCTGAAGCACATAAGATTTTTTAAAAACAAAAACATCCCATCAGAACAAGATATTACTGCACATGCTTCTTCCTCTGGGAAAAGGACAAGAGACCAACCAGCCTGTGACCGATGTGTAGTCACATTGCTTAATGCACGATTGGTAGGTGCTGAGAGAATACAGTGGTGAGTGTGGTTTAAAAACCTATATAGAATGGAATGTATTTAGGTGAAATGTTTGGATTGTGTAGGGTTGTTTACATTTCCCTTTTAGTACTGTAATGAACTATGAATTACCAGTACCACCACAGCTGGATGGTTTTATAAATAATAAAATAGCTGAGCTCCTCTCCACCCAATTCATTAAGAAACTTAACATGATCAGCTATTAATAATGATCATGACTAAGGCTGTGATTCTTACACAAGGTCGCAGATGGCACGGATTCCATGACTTTCCGTGACTGCTGGTGCAGCTGAATTCAAGGCCGCCTGAGCAGCTGGCCCCAGCCACACTGGCTGCTGCTCAGGAGGCTCTGGGCAACTGGCTACAGGGACCATGTGAGCAGCGGCTGGTCCCGGGGACCGCCCAAGCAGCAGTTCTGGGGCCGGCCCCAGGTAGTCCCAGAGGCTGCCCCGGGGCCAGCCGCACTGGCCGCTGCTTGGGCGGCCCCAAGTAGCTGGTTCCAGGGACCGCCGGAACAGCGGCCGATGTGGCTGGCTCTGAGGAGTGCCCTGGTGACCGCCCAAGCAGTAGCAGTCTCAGGGTGGCTGGAGCAGCAGCCCCAGGGGTACCTGGAGGGTGTTTGGAGAGCGGCAGCTGGGGGGCAGTCAACCTCCAGCACTGGAGCAGCCCCTCCCCCCAGCCAGGTCCCTCCTTGAAAATCAAGGCCCCAGAAGTAGAGATTGAGCCAGGGGTATTTTTGAGAAAAGTCATGGACAGGTCACGGCCATGAATTTTTATTTATTGCCCGTGACCTGACCGTGACTTTCACCAAAAATACCCCTGACTAAATCTTAGCCTTAATCATGAGGATAACTTTAACATAGACCACATTACCAGAACTGGAAAAAAACACTATCTTGTTTAAAGCAATAAGTTAAACACGAGGTGAATGTTTGGAAAATGTTTTATGAAGTCACTGAATTTGAAAGTGATGAGTCACATTTGATCATATACATTGTTTAAAGTGAACGGAATTTTAGTTTGGAGCCACAGAAGCACTTCTCCCCATCCCAGACAGGAGCAGACTGCCACTGTGCGTATTTTTAAATTCGGTCAAGAACCATAACTGAAGCTTATTTTCATAGGACTAAAGGGTCAATCTGGAAAATGAAGAAGAGAGGCACTGAAAGGGCATTCTATAATGCTAATTTACCATATCTCCGCCCATAAAGCTCTGCTCTTCATAACTGTCATATGAAAGAAGTCCTTTCTTCCTAATTTAGGCACTGATTAGATTCTAAATGAACAGCAAATGACCACATGGAATTTGAAGGAAAAAAAATCATATGGAAACAACACACATTAAACTACTTTTTCCATATTTAAATTATTTCTATTAATTATCAATCCAAATAATATTCCGATACACACTGTAGGATTTTTAACAGCAAGATTTTCACGTATACAATAAAGCGGTGTAAAGAATTTCCGGATGCTTCATTTCCCAAACAGCCACACTCCACATCCCGGGTCTTATCTTCACTAGCAGTCACAACTTGGTTGAGCAGGTGAGGGAACCATGGCTTTGTTCTTAGTGTCTACTAGTTGTGGGTAAACCCTATCTTTGACACATCTTGCCCATGTGTACTCTGACTACACAGGAAGGTTTGGTTCATGTGCATCAAAACCTGACAAGTTCAGTTGAATGACTTTAGGAAGGGCTCTCCAGGTAGCCAAACCTATTATATTTTAGTGTCTGATACAAGCTTTAGGATTTCATTTCATCGTAAAGGATGTGATGCCTACAGAGAGAGCGTCTCCACATAGCAGTCCTAGAAGAAATTAATGCCATTGTTGTGCAAGCATCAGAAGGCTCAGGGGAGAAGCGATCCAACCTGTCTGTCCCTGCAAGTACTCCTTCCATGACAGTTCCTTAACTGGGAGTGAATTATGTGCTGGTTTCTCTTCAGCTCATATAAATCTTTCATTTTTTACTGGAACAATTTTTTTGTTAAAAAAAAAGGGGGGGGGGGCCACACTTAAAATGGACTCCTGAAAACATACTATTTCCATCAGATATAGAGCACCATACACAGAGCAATTTTTCACATATGTAAAAATTTAAGTGTCATTTTCTGAGTGCTAACTTACTGTGTGTTAAGGGACAGACTTTATATACAAGTACTGATGGGCCAAGACCAATAGTCATTCATGGTGCGATAATCCACTAATTTAAATCTTTTCTAGTACCATATCCTACTATAAAGTGCTACGGTCCACTAAGATTTGTTAGTAATAATAACCAACAATGTTCATAGTAATAGTGCAATCATTTCTGCAAAGATGTTCAAATGCAGCCATTTAACTCCAATCATGTTGTTGTCCTTTTCTTTCTCTTTTAGTGTTCATTTCCAGTTCACATTCAAATCTGTTTTTAAAAAGTCTCTCCTGGAGAAGGCACTTCATATGGTGAAGTGCAGTAGAAACCATTAAAAAACCTCACTCAAGGTTACACAACGTTCTCAAGAAGTCAAGACTCCCACAACTTGGTTTGTCGACAGTGACACTATCATCTTTCTAGAGTATCAAGGCAATACCACTGGTACAGGTGCTTCTAGCACAATGTAATTAAGTTTTTTCACTTTCAATGGATCTGCTGTCTGACTGAACATTTGTGTTCAGAAGGGCTTGACTTCCTTCTGCGTTGGAAACAACTGACAAGGAGTCCCAGGGATCTTCCTCAGCACAATTATTCTGCAATTCTTCTAAAACAGGCATTTCAGGATCCTTTAAATACTAAAAAAAAGCAAAAACCAATAATTAGTTATAATTCACTCTGCAGAACAAAAGCTATAACAGACCAACCTCATGCTATATGGTTTAGGAACATGTGTAATTATATGAGGAGCTGATATGCCACCCAAAAATTAAGGTTACCCAACACTTCTCCATTATAAAACCCTATTTTCCGTTGTTTGTAATTTTGCTGTACTTTAATTGTGTCAGCTTCAGGCTGATTATTTGGGCGGGGGGGGGGGGGTTAAAAAAAAAATTCAGCCATTTCCAAGGAGGAGATTACAGAAAAATACGTTTTGCAAGTGTTAAAAATGTTCTTCCAACTGTTCTGTTGAGATGCTCTAGCCCAGAGGTGGGCAAAGTACGGCCCACAGGACTGTCCTGCCTGCCCTTGAGCTCCCGGCCAGGGAGGCTAGCCCCCGGCCCCTCCCCCGCAGCCACGCCACCATGCGGGCAGCGCTCTGGGCAGCGGGGTTGTGCGCTCCTGCCAAGCAGCACGGCAGCGTGTCTGGCTCCGGCTGGGCGGCGCGGCTGTCAGACATGCTGCTCTGAGCAGCATGGTAAGGGGGCCGGGGGGTTGGATAAGGGGCGGGGGGTCCCAGGGGAAAGTCAGGGGACAGGGAGCGGTTGGATGGGGCAAAGTTCTGGGGGGTGGGGAACGTGTGTGTGTGGCGGGGTGTTGGATAACCGTGGGAATCTCAGGGGGCGGGGGTGTGGATAGGGGTCAGGGGACTGGGACCAGGGGGGTTGGATAGGGGTTGAAGTCCCAGGGGGCGGTTAGGGGTCAGGGGTGTGGATAGGGGACGGGGCAGTCAGGGGACTGGGAGCAGCGGGGGTTGGATAGGGGGTGGGGTCCCGGGGGGCGGTTGGTCCTGGTAGGGGGTGGTTAGGGGACAAGGAGTGAGGGGGGTTGGATGGGTTGGGGGTTCTGAGGAGGCAGTAAGGGGGCAGGAAGTGGGAGGGGTCATATAGGCGGGGACCAGGCTGTTTGGGGAGGCACAGCCTTCACTACCCGGCCCTCCATACAGTTTTGCAACCCCAATGTGGCCCTCGGGCCAAAAAGTTTGCCCGCCCCTGCTCTAGCCCTTCTGCGCTTTGGAGCAGGGACCTGAAATTTGGCCTGGAGGGAGGGGTTGCCTTGGTGCCAGGGATGTGCCTTTTGCAATCCCCATGAAAATTCACCCAAATTTGGCCAAGATATAAGCCTCTGAAAAACTGTTTGTGCATGTTCGGTAGAGGCTTGTTAGAGTTTGGCAGCTAAATTCTCTGATGATTCCATCTACACAGAGCATGTTTCATCCCAAGGGCTGCAGGGGCTCTGCAGGACTTTCCCAGCAACGGCTTCTCCTAGCTTTTGCTGTGGCACTGAGCACCAGAATAGCAGGGATGTTGTGTCTCAGTGTTCCTCCTGCTGGCACCCAGGCAGCATGGAGAAGGACGAAGCAAACACTGGAATGCAGATGGATGAGGAATCAAGGGGAAGGGAGAAAGGGAGCTAGAGACAGGGAGTGGCAGGTGAGCTGAAGCTATAGGGAAAGAAGGACCTAATCATTAGACTACAGAATCCGGAATCAAACAGGATTCCCAAATATCTACATTCCCCTGCTGTCAGAAGATTTCTGCGAAACCCATTGGCAAAATGTGTGGCTCATCCCCCTCTAAAGACCGGCTCACAGAGAGGATAACAGCTAGTTCAAGTGATAAAGTTCTGTGCTGTGGCTCTAAAGGTCTGAACCCTGCTGATGACCCAGGTGGGGGTAAATTGCTTCCACACGATGGGATTATTTTTCCTCATTTTTTAAAAGATTAGGAAAATTACATTAAAATACTACATTAAAAGAACATTAGGGTGCCTTTAAAGTCAAGCACTCAGCAGTTAGGAAATCCCAGGATGAAGGTTGCCTGTAACCTTAATTCAGCCTTTCTGTACGTACGCGTTATGATACAATATTTAATTACATGATCACATGCTATGTTTTCCACCCCGTCCCTTCCCCATTCAGTGCACAGGATGGCCCTGCTCTGGGAATGAATCAAGGTTGTGTAGTGCATGAGACTATTGTTTATAGGACCCGTGCCTTGTTTGTAGCAGAAGTTGGAGGGTGTGTGGTGAATGATGCAGGGGATTTCATGAAGAGAAAGGATGGTCTTCTGTCCTGGTTAGGGATGTTGAACATCATCCTAGAGAACTAGATTCTTTTCCTGCCTCTGCCACAGAGTTCCTATGGGAAACTGGACAAGTCAGGTAATCCAAAAATTTCACAGGTGGCCACTGTGATCTTGTCTATACTTACAGTGCCACTGTAGCGCTTAGTGAAAATGCTACCTACGCCGACAGGACAGTGGAGATACACCACACCCCCCCCCCCCCCAGAAGTGATAGCTACGTTGATGGGAGAAGCCCTCCAGTTAATAGTACTGTCTATCGGGGGTCGGGGGGGTAAAAATTTGGCCCTTGGCAGGGGGGAAATTGGTTGTTGGGGGGGGGGGGCACATGGGGTCACATGCCCCCTCCAGATTTCTGCTAGGGTTTATATATATATTTTTAAAACAGGAGTGGGTTCAAAATATTGCCTTTGTTGCTTGGGGATGCGGATTTTCCATACCCTTGTATGACGCAATTTACTCCTGAGGGCATTCTGTACCAAAAAATTAAAAATTCTGCTCACAATATTTTCAAATTCTTCAAAATGTTATTTGTCAAATAAATGTGGAGGCTCCATCATGGCACTGGGGAGCACAGGCCACTGGCTGCACAGAGGTGGGAGATCACTGTGCAGCTTCCTCCCCGGCTACACGGACTCAGTGGTGTGAGGCTGCACCCAATCCTGACACAGCACAAGGACCAGGCCTGCCCCAGAAACACCCCAGGGCCCTGCCCCTCCGTGCCAGGCACAGCGGGGTGGGCGGGCAGGCAGGCTCAGTAAGGCAGGATCCAAGTGTGGAGGGGCTTAGTGCGGGGGGATCCAAGTGTGGATTGGGAGGGTTCTGTGGGGGGCAATCTGGGTGCAGGTGGCTCAGTGGGGGATCCAGGAGTGGGGGGTTCTGGATGCACAGGGGCTTGTTGGGGGGTTCCAGGTGCAATGGTAATAGGACTCTGCAGGGGGGGTCCCGGTGAAGGTGGTTGGAGCTCAGTGTGGGAGGTCTGGGTGTGGGAGGGCTCAATGGTGTGGTCCAGATGCTGGGGGAGTGGGGCTCAGTGGGGTGGGGATCCAGGGAGCTCGTCATGGTGGTCCAGGTGCAGGGGGAGTGGGGCTCGGGTGGGGGGCTCTGGGTGTGCGGGGGGCTGAGGCTCGGTGGGAGGATCTGGGTCTCGATGCACGGGGGTTGGGCAGATGGGGGAGCAGTTCCCCGTACAGAGTTTCCCCCCCCCCTAGAGCTGAGGAGCAATGGGCGTAGGAAGTGGGGGGGGGGAAGGGTGGTGTGTGGAAGAGTTTGCAGAGCTTCCTGGAGCCTGGGGAGAAATCTGGAGGTGGGTCTGACCTGACTTTGGGTGCCGGCTGTGCAGGGGACGAGGAAGTCCCATCCTCCCCAACTCTGCTGGGACTAGCAGCTGAGCCTGGCACAGGGTAGGAGCCACGAGCTGGGTCTTCCCCAGTCCCTCCCTCTGCCCCACAGTGATTTACCTCTCTGTCGGCTGCCCTGGGCACCCAAAATGTAACTACTGGGGAGGGTCACTTGAAAGCCACAAGAGCAATTCTTTGCTTCCCCGTCAGAAAGTCATTTTTCTGCAGGGAAGCAAAGAAATCTGTGGGGGACATGAATTCTGTGCATGCGCAGTGGCACAGAATTCCCCCAGGGGTAACAGTTATACCAACATAAGTTGGTAATGGAGCCCAAGCCTCTGTGTTCCAGTTCTGGATGCCTGAAATGAGCCACTTCGCACCAGATGTGCAGAAGCGCTAAGCATTCACACCAGCAATTGGAAGTCAATGGGAGCTGTGCTCTCAACACATAACATGCTATAAAAATACCAAGTTCTCTGAAAGATCAGGGCCCCAGATGTCTTCAATTAGGCACCCAAAATTAGTGGATACTTGGTAATTTTGGCCTTACTCTCTCTGTACCTCTCCAGCCATAAAATGGGGATATTACCCACTCATCTCAAGCGTGTTGTGAAGATAAATTCATTGACATTTGTGAAGCGCTAAAGATGGTATGGGGAAAGCAGAGTTTGAAGGGTGTGTAGTAAATGAAGTGTGTGGGGCCACACACACAATGAGGGAGATAAAAAGAAATATTGAATAACCCACTCATTGAATGAGACAGAGATTCTGTGGAAAAAGTCATGTTTGATCATGTAATTAAAGACTATAATCAGAATGCATACATACATGGGAGTTGAATTAAAGTTGCAGCAGCAACCTTATTTTGGGTAGTTCCCAAATTCTAAGTGCTTGACTTTGCAATATTAATAATGTTTCTTGCAATGTAGATTATTTTTTTATGCAAACAAATCCCCACAAACTAAAGAGCAAACCCTGCAGTCCTTAGTCACTGACTTTCCACTGAAGTCACTAAGAATTTTGCCTGAATTAGGACTGCAGAATTTGGCCTTCAAGTATTTTCGTCTTAGAATCATTCCTACTTTTGATGACAGGAATAACTCTGAGAAGTTAATCTGATATACGATTAATTATTTTTAAATGACCACAAATGTCCCAATGTACTTTTCTGTTAAATTTACTGGGATTCTGTTGCTTACTGGAAGACAGCAGAAAAAACCTGCAGCATCTTTCATTTCATACTGAACTGGGGAATTTCCATTCTATTTCTTATCATCTGTTGATATCAGCTGAGAAAACTTGGCAAGGCAAAATGAAAGTAAATTTAGTAGGGATTTTCCAGCCTCTAACTACTTCGTAATTTTAGCCACGTATGCATCAGGAGCATTCTGTAGTTTCTTACCACTTTATCTACCCAGAGTAGGAATTTCTCCATGTTAAAATATCACTTTAATATAGAAGCATCTGAACTTACTTTCACTCTACCTACATAGTTAACATACATTTCACAACTGTACTGTGTTTACAGTATCTATATGGAACAATTTTTAGTGTAATAATTTGGAGAGGGTGATCTTAAAAGTTGGCTCTATTTAGAGGTCACATTACAAAAACCAAAGCTACTATCAATAGTCCTTTCAAAAATGCATCCATCACACAGAACTTGAGGCTGCATAATCACACGTACACAGTAATCAGACTCTGTACTTGTGAGCATAGATGCACACCTGTGACTCATTTGATAGAAACACAGTACTAGTGCAATGTTGAAATAAATGCAAAGAGCTTTTAAAAAAAAAAAAACTAAATCAAAGGTCAAATAGGTATTTAAACTAACAGTACAGCAAACTAACGTGTTTTTTTCCTAACTTGATTAGCTCAGACTTGACTGTTAAGTCATTTTCCGCAAAACACAGTGTTCTAATTGGTTTAAAAGGTTTCCATTATGACAACCAGTTTCATCAATACACAGCATTAAATGTTTTAAAAGCCTATTTCCCATCTTAGAGACACTTGTCATGAAACAACTTTCAAACATGACCTACTCCAACTATCTTTTAAAAGCAAAAAACACACCACAAATTAACCATTTGATAGCCTGTCACCTACAAACAGAGCTCTGACATTACCAACAAAATTTAAGTGTTACAGCTCTAAGCTGGAAACTTTTAGTTGCTGAATTAGTCAAAGTATCCAATGATGCATTATATTGATGAAGAATGTAAGTCAATAGAGTACATTATACGTTGATTAATCACAGCATTCTATTAGCTAGAGTTATCTAATTTCACAGGTAGGTGTTCAAGTTGGCTGACATCTCAAATGTTAAGACTGGGTGGTCAAGTACAGGAACTGGGCTGTAATATACCTACTATATTTTATACACAGTATAAAGCACTATAGAATTGCCATCAGCCTGCATGCCTGCCACCAGAAATTCACTTCTGGATGTGGAGCAAACAAAAGTTTCATGCACTTTACATCAGTGGTATAGCTAGGACAGGAAAACTGGCTGGGTTCTAGCTTTTGGGCACGTGGGCAGGCAATGCCCGGGCAGGGGGTGGAGGAGCAGGAAGGATGGGGGGCCCTGCAGAGGGGGGGGCAGGAGGGATGGGGGGCCCACCTCCCCATCACCCCTTACCACTTAGCAGGCACCTGGGGCACACAGGCTGCAGGGCACACCCATGGGGCAAAGGGGGGGCCCCACCGGGGCTCAAGCTCCATCCACCCCTCCCAACCCTGGGTTGGTGTCTGTCAGAAGGGCTGCGTCCCCTACCTGCTGGCGACGCACACTGCTGCCCGGGTCTCGGCCCCAGCACTAGCCCCCCCACACAAGGCACCCTCACTCCCCCCCCCCCCCCCCCCCCCCGCAGGGCTAGCACTGGGACCGTAGACCAGGGCAGCAGTGCGTGGCGCCGGCAGGAGAGGGATGCAGTCGGACACCGATCTGGGATCGGGAGTCCCAACCTGTGGATTCGGGGGGCTCCGTGGATGGGCCTGGAAGCTAAGTGGGCTGGCTGCGGCCCACTCAGGCCCATCCATGGCTACACCTCTGCTTTACACTGATTAATTAATTAGATCTGAGAAAGGTCTTTTTTCCCTTAGAAATCTGATCTTGTGTCTTTGAATACATTTCAGTGGGAACAGAGGACGCTCAGCACCTCAGACAGCTGAACACAAAAATTTTATTGTTGAGGAGTTATTGCAGGGCTAGTAAGAAAGCATAGAAGCCAAAAACTTTCATAATGTTACAAGCTACAACATGGCATAGCATTTTAGTTGGCTTCTATATTAACATAGTTTTAATTATAGATACAGGTGACAGGGCAGGGACAAGGAACAATTTGAAGTTATTTTATCATGACACTTATCTCTGGCATTAATCGGATTCAAATTATTTTTTACAGGTAGATTTTAAAGACAGAGCAAATAAGTACATTTTAATGAATTCAAGAAATAATCAGTTTGTGATTTTTTTTGCTACACCTAAGGAGTGGGACAATATCAAATCTGTTTCCTGTAACTCACATGTTGAAAGCCTGGAATTTGCTCTAAAGGAGAAACTGTGACACTTTCTGAAATGCTAAAAAAAATACATATGAAACAGAAGCCACTGCCATATATTAACTATGGTAACTTGTTCTAATGACAATCTTTTCACATATCCATAGCTCTAAGACAGGTGTGGGCAAACTTTTTGGCCCGAGGGCAACATCTGGGTATGGAAATTGTACGGTGGGCCATGAATGCTCACAAAATTGGGGGTTGGGGTGCGGCACGGGATTAGGGCTCCAGCGGGGTGTGCGGCCTCTGGGCTGGGACCAAGGGGTTTGAAGGATGCGAGGGGGATCAGGGCTGGGGCAGGGGCACGGGAGGGAGTCAGGGGTGCAGGATCCGGGTGGCACTTACCTCAAGTAGCTCCCAGAAGCAGCAGCATGTCCCCCATCCAGCTCCTATGCGGCGGCACAGCCAGACACCTCTGTGCGCTGCCCCATCTGTAGGCACCACCCCTGCAGCTCCCATTGGCCGCAGTTTCCGGCCAATGGGAGCTGCAGGGGCGGCACTTGGGGTGGGGGCAGCGTGCAGAGCCCCCTGGCTGCCCCTATGCGTAGGAGCCAGAGGAGAGACATGTTGCTGCTTCCAGGAGCCGCGCGTAGCGGGGCAAGCCCCTGACCCCGCTCCCCGGCTACAGCAGGGCAAGCCCTGGACCCTGCTCCCTGGCAGGAGCTCAAGGGCCAGATTAAAACGTCTGGAGGGCTGGATGCGGCCCCTGGGCCGTAGTTTGCCCACCCCTGCTGTAAGAAGAAGAAAACCGCTAGGCCAGCTAAGCCCTCTTGGAAAACAAATAATACAGGCAGAATCGTTTCTAAATATGTATCATTATCAGTGTTATTTGCCTGAAAACAGGTTCACTGTTGCTGAAGCATTCGCCTGATTTCTGCTGCTTACTATCCAGTTGAAATCCTAATGACCTCCACGCCAATTGAGGGTTATAAATTCTGATGGAGAGTAAGCATTAGAAAACAGATTAACTCTTATCGTCCTTTCCATAATATACTGTGTATTTTTAAAAAGTGAACATATTTAGGTACTTGTGCCCCCCCGCCCATCAGAATAATATCTAATTGCATAAAATTATTAAACTTATCCTCACAAAACCCTTTTGAGGTGGGAAATCATCATCTTCATTTTACAGATCGGAACTGAGGCAGACACAGATTAAGTGACTTGCTCAAGGTCATGCAGAAAATCTATAGCAGACTTGGAAACTGAACCCAGATTCTGAAGTCCTGATCCAGTTCCTTAATCACAAAAGCACCCTAGCTCAAAGGATTGTTTTTGATAGTAGAAATGTTTCTACGCTGCCCCCACCCCAAGCGCCGCCCATGATGTGGAAGATGTCTCAAGCCATAACTTTTAATTCATGATCAATGGAAAAACATTTCCTGTTTAAAACATAAAAAGAGGAAGATGAACAGAGCTGAAATATTCTTCAGTACAGAGATGCATGACCTGCCAGAAAAAAAGTCACATGCATCTTTCGTCATTCATCTGTGAATTGCAAGAAACCATTAAAAAAAAAACAAACAAAAAAAAAAACCCCCAAGATCAAACCCCCACACCCAATACCTTCCATCTCCCCAGGCCCTCAGAGATTCTGATATTTGGTCTCCACAATGGCACATGCTCACCTGTAATTCAGTAACTGATCCTTAAAAAGTCTACTTAACCACCAAAGAAACTACTAATACTGTACCACGTGCAATTTGGTCTCAGTTCTGTAGTGAAGAATTGGTCTGCGTCAACCCTGATTAATCAATATTATTTTTATTTTAAAACAAAAAATTGAGTCTTTTTTCATATTACGACAGTTTCACACAAAGGAACACCACAATATCTGTACTTAAGTACAGAGTGAGCAAGGGATTCCAGCTAAGTAAAATGGCATAAATTGGAGTAACATTACAGCCACACTAAATATGAAAAACAACAAGCTATACTGCATTTATGGAGTTTGGATGTAAACTCAGAAAGGCAAGAGTTTAATATTTTGTAGCTTCTACGTGACCTCAACTAACCTAACCAGTTCATTCCAGTCACACCACCACCTCTTTTGCTAAACAGAAAGATAAAAAATACATACCTCTTCAATATGCAGTGGAATTTGAAAAGGCGGTTGAAACCAATATTTAATGACTTGATGAAATTTCTGAATAAAAAGGAAACAGACAATTGCTAAGATCACCACAGTAACTGTGGCTCCAACAAATATTATTGCTACAAATCCAGCTCTGGTTGCATCTGAAAAGAGAAAAAAAAGTAGCATCACTATGTAATATATATATATATATATATATATATCTTTTTCTTTTTACTCCACTGGTGTCAAGTTTATCAACAAGTCTTGATAACTTTTTAATGTGAAAACTAATCAATTATCTTGGATAATAATTTAAATTGCATCATAATAAGCAGGAGGCTTTTATAGACTTCCTTTGTTTAACACAATGATACAGAAGCTTCACCTATTGTGCATTGCGGTATAACTGCATAACTTATATGTCATGCGTAGCTTCTGCCAGAGGTGGTAAAAGTGTATTTAAGGCACATGTAACTTTTCCTAGAATCAAGGCTTAGACATGACAGTGACGGACACTATCAAAAAACAAGATAAAATGATACTCTCCAGCTTTAACACGGGAGTAAAAGAGCTATGGGAAACACAAACTTTATCCAAAATTGTCGGGGAAAGGAGGAGAAACACATCAATAGCAAGTACATAATGCGCGAGGTGTTTACAATGCTCATAACTGCTGCGGTGAGCTGAACAGGCTCCATGCTTGCCGTGCTATGGCGTCTGCTCGGGCAATCCAGGGAAAAGGGCGCGAAATGATTGTCTGCCGTTGCTTTCACAGAGGGAGGGTTGACTGATGACATTTACCAATAACCACGAGTGACAAATTTTTGGCCTCATCAGGCACTGGGAGCGCAACCCAGAATTCCAATGGGCAGCAGGGACTGCGGGAACTGTGGGATAGCTACCACAGTGCACCGCTCGGAATATCGATGCTTGCCACGGTACTATGGACGCACACCACCGAATTAATATGCTTAGTGTGGATGCATGCACTCGACTTTATACAATCTGTTCCCAAAAATAAACTTCTGTAAAATCGGAGTAATTTCATAGTGTAGACATACACATACTTCTCAAATTTTGTTTAAAATGAACACTGCAATCTTAAGCCAAACAACGTAGAAATTCACAGGCTGAGATCCAAATCCCATTAAGCAGAAGAAATATTAATATTAGTGTATTTGCCCTGGATAATTTGCATTGTTCTATTAAACAATGATTCAGTGTGAGGTACCAGAATGGTAGACCCAGAGGCTTAACTCTTATTTAAATTCATCCACCTTGCCCTCCTAATGCACTCTCACACTGAAGCATGTACTTAACATATGAGAAGTTCCAGTGGTGTGCACATGTGCTTAAAGTTAAGGACATACTGTAACTCCTCGCTTAACGTTGTACTTATGTTCCTGAAAAATGCTACTTTAAGCGAAATGATGTTAAGCAAATCCAATTTCCCCGTAAGAATTAATGTAAACAGGGGGGTTAGGTTCCAGGGAAATTTTTTTTGCCAGACAAAATATATATACACATATATATACACACACATATACAGACATACACAGTATAAGTTTTAAACAAACAATTTAATACTGTACAGAGCAATGATGATTGTGAAGCTTGGTTGAGGTGGTGAAGTCAGTGGGTGGAAGAGGGTGGGATATTTCCCAGGGAATGCCTTATTGCTAAATGATGAACTAGCATTCGGCTGATCCCTGTTGTTAATGTAGCCACACACTCTACAAGGCAGCACGAATGGAGGGAGGGGAGACAGCACGGCAGAGAGACACACCATGCAGGCGTGAGAGAGAGAGAGAGAGAGAGAGATATGCGCATTGCACCTTTAAGCATGCTGACCCCACTCCAAGTAAACTGCCTTTTTAAGTAGATCAGCAAGTTGAGACAGCAGCTGCTGCCAGCAAGCTTCCTCTGTCCTGAGCCCTGTCGTGTCCCCCCCGCCTTATGGAGATGGGGTACAGGAGCGGGGAGAGGGGATCACCCTGACATTAGCCCCCTTTCCCCCCAGCAAGCAGGAGACTCCAGGGAGCAGCTCCAAGGCAGAGGGCAGGAGCAGCACATGGCAGTGGGAGGAGGGACAGCTGAACTGCCGGCAATTGATAGCCTGCAGGGTGGCTGCCACACAGGGAATTTAGGGGAGCGGGGAGCTGATAGGGGGGCTGCCGGTCCACCATGGTTCCAAGCCCCCCACCAGCTACCTCCAATGGGCTGCTCTTTCTGCAAGCAGTGGACAAAGCAGGCGGCTGCCAAATGACGTTATAAGGGAGCATTCTGCAACTTTAAACAAGCATGTTCTCTAATTGATCAGCAACGAAACAACAAAACAACGTTAATCGGGATGAAGTTAAGTGAGGAGTTACTGTATTTTAAGAGCTTTGCTAGGTTAGAGCCAGAGTGCTCAGCATTTTGCAGGATCACGCCCTAAAGCGGCACCTTGTTTGACACATTTGTGTAAGGAGAGGAGAGAAAAAGGAGTACGTGAGCATGGAGCCTATATTGCCTTCTCATGCCTAGAGGTGATTCCTCCAGGGTAGAGTATGAGACGTAACATGAGGGCCTAAGTCTACACAGGCCTTACAACAGAGTTTAAAACCAGGCTTAAGCTCAGATATAGACAGACCGGATTCTAACCTTTTAGCCAACAGTACAGATGGGACCAAACTTTACCAGTTTCTGAATTGTCCTTGCCCTCCCCAACCTTGTCTCACCCCTCCCCTCCGATCTCTCTCTCTCCTGCCCCGGTTCTCCACACAGTGGCAGAGCAGGTGATCAGGTGAATGGGCTAGGGCAGAGAGGGACATGGTGAGTTTGGGAGAGTACCATCATTTTCCCTCAAACAAATTTGACCCCAGGTGAGAAAAGGAATTACCAGTAAGTAATTTCCCCTTAGAATACCAATATATATTTGTATTTGTACCTTAATAGCGCCATAAAAAAAAAAAAAAAAATCTATCTAGGAGGGGTGAGGAAAGGGAGGCAGATGCTCTGTTTTACTTTCTCTTATTTATTGAGCTGCTGAAAAACTCATTATGTGAAAATGAACGAGAATATGCCCTTGAACTATTAAAAACAGTGCCCTTTAGAACTGAAGACAGGTACTAGTTGTGTGATGCAGTAAATTCAAACAGCCAGCCATTTAAGACTCAAGTTTTATACCAGTTTCATTACACAAGAGATAAAACAGGTGTTCATGAAATAAGATTTATACCACTAGTTGCAGTTTTGTGACAATCTGTTTTGCTGAATGGTCCAATGTTGTCATTTAATAAGCGGAGTTTTGCTCGTATTTGAAAACAATACACTGTCAGTTGCTTTAGATTCAGAAGTCCGATTCGGGTATTCTTGGTCCATTCTGTTTCCTGTTTTAAAAAAAAAAAAAAAAAAAAAAAGTTAAGTTCTTTGTTAGTGCAAGTAATATTTTTTTATTACAAAAAACAGATTTCTATTAAGAGTTTTCTTCAATACAATCAACTTGAAATCACAAGTTTCCATTCAAAAGTTTCACAATATTATTTTGCATAACTAACATTTATACAGTATGCAAAAAGTAGTGTACAGTATGAGCTTCTTATTGCAGTGCATTTTAAATGCAAATTTTATTAAATAAATAGAGGCGTTCTGCTTCAATGAAACAAAATCTGGTTATTTACGCTCCCCATCTACCACGGACATGATTATTTATTTTGTGAATGCACGTAGGTTAATGTAAAATTTCACTGTACACGAAACACCCTTAGAATCTCTGAAAGTCTGCAGTATTTTTGTGCCAATTCCTGCAGTTAAAGGTGATTTGGCAGAAGGAGGAGGAGTTGGAAAAACAACAAAACAAAAATATCGTCAAAAACAAATCTGCTGCTTTAAAATACCAGCTTCTAGGCTAGGATGCCCAGAACCATTATCTAGGGATTAAAGACAGATGCAAGTATGGTGTTCAAGTTTTGCATCAACCCTCCACTCTTGACACTAGAGCCACTGGCCCCAGACAGCAAGAACTGAATCAGACGAAGTTCTGTCCAGTGAAGATCATGACTTTCAATTTATCTCTTTGCCTACTCACAAGAATGGAGCTAGCAGGGAGAACTGTAGGGCAACGCTAAATGCATTTTTATGTCCACAGTCCTAACAAAGCTAGCAGTTTGCCTTTTTCAGTGCTGGGTAGCTCAGTTAAGAACTTGATTAATTCTTACTGTCAAAGCTAAAAGCTATGACATGAGGGTCTGAGTTCTGTCTCATCTGTATGTCAGCTAGAGGAAGAGGAGTATGTTAAAAGTGTGTCAGAAAACTCAATTTTTCTGGGAAAGGAGGGAGGTGCATTAACCTTGACATTGCCTTTTTTTTTTTAATAAATGCTCAGCTAAGCTTAACTGAAATGAAACAGGTAAGTAGTTGGAAAGCCAGAGGCAGGGACCGTCCCTAGAGGGGTGCAGGGCCCAGGGCAAATCAGCATGTCTGGGGCCACCCTTAACATTTTTTATACAGATGTAATCTAGTTACAGTGAACTTCAAGGGCAGCTGCTGGCCGCAGGTTAAATATTGATAGCGCCCAGCTGTATAATTATAATGTTATAAAAAAGAACTACAATTTAATTATAATGAAGTTCATATAATTTAAAAAAAAAAAAAAAAAAAAAAAAAAAACACACACCACACCTCACTGATCACGATCAGTGTCATGCCACTTACATTCTGAAATTCACCTTCCCTGACTTCCTCGCAGCAAACTCACTGCCCAGATGCATATGGTCTTGCTACCCTCAGTGGATTTTTTTTTTAAAATATAATTACGCATTCGCAACACTGAGAGCTCATGTCTCGGGAACTGGGTGGCTCTTGGAGGGCCTATATATGCCCTGGTGCTGGGGGACCCCAGGACGCTCTAGCATGGAGGAGGGGCTCTAAGATCTGTTTTCTCTGGGGGCTGGGAGGGGGAGGGGAGGTGGAAAAGCAGATGGATGGAGGACCCCAGTCCTGGTTGGTGGTGGAGAGAGCAGAGTTGTGGGACCCCAGGTCCTGGTACTGCAGGGAGGGGAACCCCAAGGCTGGAGAGATGAAAGGCAAGGAGGACCCTGAGGCAGGGGCGTGATAAAGGCTGGCCCTGGCCTGGAGGTGGCACTGGAGGACCCCACACAGTGCTGGGAGAGGGGAGAAAGGGCGGTGGAAGGGGGAAGTGTGGGGCACTGGGGGGACACCTGTACTTCGTGATAGACGATGGAGATTACTGGCTAGCACTCACCTGTGCTAGGGAACCCCCTGTGCTGGTGGAGGGTCCAGCTGGAAAAGGGAAGGGTCAGGGTCAGCCTGCCCAGGCACTAGTGGTGGGGGGCACTAGGACCCTGTGGCAGCAGGTGACACCGGGAGCCGGCGGAGCGGGCTGAGGCCGGGTCACTTGCTGCTGCCGCAGAGACTGAGCCCAGGGGGCTGCAGGAAAGAAAAAGAAACAAACGCCTCGGCCGGTGAGTGCGGGGCATGGGCCTGACCCCTGCTGCCAGCACCAGGCCCCCCTCACATTCCCCTGAAGCACGCGGTCCGGGGCAGTTGCCCTGGTCTGCCCTGTGGATGGGATGGCTCTGGCCAGAGGCAGATAATTTCATAAATGAAAAAAATGGGTCAGTCTATGTCTTTAAAACAAAAAATCCTCATTTGTGGGCAGTTTATTCACCCCAAAGCCAGCCTGTCTAGACTGGGAATTTGCCCTGCTTATAGCCACTGGTAGTCCAAACAAAAGTAGAACTACACTAGTAACTTGGAGTACACCATATGTTTGCAAAACTTTTATAGGTAGAGACCTACCAAATTCATGGCCATGAAAAAATCATCACGGACCATGAAATATGGTCTCTCCCTGTGAAATCTGGTCTTTTGTGTTCTTTTACCTTATACTATACAGATTTAACAGAAGACACCAGTGTTTCTCAAATTGGTGGTCCTAACCAAAAAAAGGAGTGGGGAGGGGGTCACAAGGCTATTTTAGGGGGGTCGCGGTATTGCCACCCTTACTTCTGCACTGCTGCCTTCAGAGCTGGGTGGCTGGAGGGCAGCGGCTACTGACTGAGGGCTCAGCTCTGCAGGCAGGAGTGCAGAAGTAAGGGTGGCAATATCATACCATGCCATCCTAACTTCTGTGCTCTGCTGGTGGCGGCACTTCCTTCAGAGCTGGGCAGCTGGAGAGCAGCGGCTGCTGGCCAGGAGCCCAGCTCTGAAGGAAGTGCCACCACCAGCAGAGCGCAGAAGTAAGGGTAGCAGTACCACAACCCATTCCCCCCCCACCCCCCGTCTCCCTCCTCCCCACACACAATAACCTTGCGATCCCCCCACAACTCCTTTTTGGGTCAGGACCCTTATAATTACAACACCATGACATTTCAGATTTAAATAGCTGAAATCATGAAATTTACCATTTTTAAAATCCTATGGCCATGAAATTGACCAACATGGACTGTGAATTTGGTAGGGCCCTATCTATAGGCCATGATTTGAACTGGCACAGCTCACCTTACTTGATAATGCACAAATCAGGTCTTGTAGCAGTTTTGCACCTGTCTACATTAAGGCTTTGATTTGAACCAGCATAGCTACTCCAGTAACTGGACACAAGTGGCTGAAATTCCCAGTACAAACAAGACCTGAGATAGAGAGAAAAATCTCAGAGGTCCTAGGTAAAATTTTCAAAAGTGCCTAAGTGACTTAAGAGTCTGATTTTCAGAAGTGACGAAGGTGTTAGAAGCCCAAATCACTTTTGAAAATGGGACTCCTAAGTCACTTAAGGGCTTTGGAAAACTTTACATCCATTCAATTAATAACACATAATACATTTGAGCCCAGATTAGATTAACTTCCCTTCAGTTAACCAACAAGCTTCTTTTCTGCTGGAGAAAAGGTCAATATTACAACTTTGCCCTCCATTTCTTTCTACCATTTTGCCAAAGAAAGGAGAGATAACAAGAATGCTTACATGTCGTTCATTTGTTGATTTCTCCCAGTAGCGCACAAGATATTGTAAATTATCTTCTTTTACATTGGGCGAGAAGTTAAGGAAAAGTGAATCAGGCGTTGAATCCACATTTACTATAACAGGAGGCCCTATAGTAGCTGAAAATGAACAAAAAATAGATGAACATTTGGAATTCAAAAAAATGAGCACAGTTCCTACTAGTTTTGATCTGATACATAATAAGAAACTACTGAATACAACAGCCTGTTATCTGGAAGAGATATAAAGTTTTCAAATACATTTACTCCTTAATTATTTCAAATAGCTTCATAGCACTAAATATTGGCTGTGTCATGAATATAGAGGAAAGGGTTAAGCAGTTCAAATAACCTAGTTAGCACCTGACCAGAAGGACCAATAGGAAAAGAAGATCCTTTCAAATATGGTGGGGGAAGGATTTGTTTGTTTGTTCTCTTTTGTTGTTCCCTCTCTGGATGGGGGGAGAAGTCAACCAGGTACAACATCTCCTGAAAATATACCTGGAATAATCCATCTAAAACCACAGAGATTGTAAGTAGGGCAAGGAAATGCATTAGGTTATCTTTTGTTTTGGCTTGTGACTTTTCCTATGCTACAGAGGTAGTTTTATTCCTGTTTTTGTAACTGTGAAGCTGAGCCCAGAGGGGAATCGTCTGTGTTTTAAATATTTTTATTACCCTGTAAAGTACCTTCCATCCTGATTTTGCAGGTGTGATTCTTATTTTTTTCTTTATAAATAAAATTCTTCTTTTAAGAACCTGACTGATTTCAGTGTCCTGAAGACAAAGGGTCTGTTCGGTGCTCACATTGCTAAGGCAATTGGTTAGTATATTATTCTCAAGCCTCCCCAGGAAGGGGGGTGAAGGGGTTTGGGGGGGGTTTCAATTTCAATTCACAGCCAGCTGCATCTGTGAAGTGCTCCTGTATTTCAATCACGGCACTACTGTTATATGCTGCAGTTGCTAAGAAGAGAAAAAGAAAGCAAAAGATTCTAGAGGAAGAAGGATGAGAAGACTGATGCAAGCAAGGAGGAGAAGTTAGATGCATGCAACATGGTGGAAGGAGAACCAAGGCCTTGTCTACTGCTAGAGATCTATCCTGGTTCTAGCCACAGGTATAGCTGCATTGGTACCACCTCTGGTATAGACAGGCAAAGCTGCTATTTGCACTACCGCTGGTTACCTTTATTTCAAGCAAGGCTAGGCCCCACCAGTGTGAATAGCAGCTATGCCTGCCTACATTAGGAGTTTGCACTGCTCCAGCTACATCAGTGACTAGTCTCCAATGGCTGGGATTGGAGCAAACTCTCAGTGTAGCCAAGGCTTAAAGAAGAGGAAAAGAAGTGGATCTTATTGTGACGTTGCACTCCTTATGATTTTATGAAAATATTCTAAGGAGTGTGAATATAATGTAACTGGAATATGCTTCATGCAAAAGGTCTCTTGTAAGGTATCATTACAAAGCTCAATCTTTTGAGTGTGGTCATCCAGTTTGTATAAAATGTATAATTCTTGTATCTGAAACTAGAAATATAAAATATCACTCTGAGGTCCTATGTATTTATGGGCCATTAATGGTGGTTTAGAATCTTGATGGTTCCCATCAATTAGAACAATTGACTGTAGATGGCTCTGTTTACTTGCAAGCCTTCCTGTGAGTGAGGCCGGGAAGAATGAAGGTTTGGGTCTCACAGGACATGTGACCATGTCACCTGGTACTGGAATCCATCTTAAACCGGGTGTTTTTCCATTTAGAAGTAGGGGTGGGAACCCAAAGAGACAAAAGATTCCTGCCTTGTGCCAAAGGTATATATGGGGTTGGAACAGAACAAAGGGGGCTGCAGTCATGAGAAATCTGCTAGCTACCACCTGAGCTGGAACAAGGACTATACCCAGGAAAGGATTGGGCTCAGACTAGAAAGGAGTCTAGTCTGTGAAAGAAGCTTATTGGAGCGTCTCTCAGGGTGAGGTTTCATCTGTAAACAGTTTCTTACTGTATTAGGCTTAGACTTGGGTGTTTTTGTTTTATTTTGCTTGGTAACTTACTTTGTTCTGTCTGTTATTACTTGGAACCACTTAAATCCTACATTTTATATTTAATAAAATCACTTTTTACTTATTAATTAACCCAGAGCAAGTAATTAATACCTGGGGGAGCAAACAGCTGTGCATCTCTCTCTATCAGTGTTATAGAGGGCGAACAATTTATGAGTTTACCCTGTATAAGCTTTATACAGAGTAAAATGGATTTATTTGGAGTTTGGATCCCATTGGAAACTGGGTGTCTCGGTGCTAGAGACAGGAGCACTTCTTAAGCTGTTTTCAGTTAAGTCTGCAGCTTGTGGGGGACATGGTTCAGAGCGGAGTCTGTATTTGTAGCAGGCTAGCGTGTCTGGCTCAAAAAGACAGGGTACTGAAGTCCCAAGCTGCCAGGCTCAGAGGTAGTCTCAGCCCATCAGGTCGCAGTCCCAAGGGGGTCCCTGTGACCGAACCCACCACACTTATGTTCATATGTTATATTTTAATTTTCCCATTGAACATTTTGTTGGTCACCAAAGTTTGGAAGTGAACTGCTAAAATGTACCTTCCAGTATAAATACAAGACTACCACGCAATTAGTTTATCCCTAATTATTGTTCTAGCATGGCATAAAGAAAAAAGGGTGAGTTGCCCTGGACTCTTAATTTGTAGGACAGTGCCTAATACACTGGGGTTCTGAGCTCTACATGCTGCCATTTTACAAATATATAAAAAACAAATGTTAAAAGACCAGAAAAAAAGTCAGAAAGCCTAGCCGAACACAAGAGAAAACTGATCCTTTCCTGTAACCTCTGCTTATTATTTTAACTTATAATGGCAGGACATGTTTATATTCATTATGTTGCAATGTCATCCATGCTACAGTAACAGACAAACAAAAATAATAAACTTTACCCTGCTTCATTCAAATGGTTCTGCTCTGCTCAAAATTATTGTGGAGAAAGTTGGCCCTCTTGTTAATACATTGGATCATGAACTTTTTAGTTTCTTCTTGCATCATGCCCTACTACAGTTGCAACTGCTGTCTCTCCTTTAATGTGTCCTCTCTTCTGTACATTTTGCTTGTAAGTTTCCCTTGGCAGGTAACTCTCCCCCCCGTACATTCTCTCTCTCACCGCTCAGAGTGTGACACATGATCTGGGGTGTGATCTACATGGCTGATTTGAATGCCATAGGGAAAAATACACACAAGCTAGAGGGCTAACATCTGAGTTTACAGGAACTGATTTCAGGATTGGCTACATGAGGTGCCACATGAGAAGGCAGAGAAGGCTGCTGGCTTTCAAGGGGCCAATTGAAACTTCCCAGAACACTGGATACACAAGCGGGGAAGGGGTAGGTGTGGAATCATGCAGTTTTCCTCCACCCCCCCACCCCCTTTCGCTTTGCGCTCCCTTTAAGCTAGCCGGATGCCCCCATCCACAGGATCCATTCCCCAGGTTGGGGAATAATGAATGAATCTCTTCTGCTCTAAACATTATTTCAGACTTAACTTTTGAACAAAGAAAACCCACAACTGAATCTCCTTCTAGCCCAGAAACCAACCATAACAAGGGAACTCGTGGATACTTCTAAAAGTTAACATTAAATGTGTTCACACAGCCACCACATTAACCTCTATTTTGTCAGTACGGTATACTCCCCGTTATCTGAATAGCACAGGGGACACTGATTTTGTTTGGATAATTGAAAGGGCAGGAGCCATGGGCAGGGGCTCGTCCTCCTCCTCACAGCCCTGGCTGGGGATGTCTGCTCGATTATCTGAACCTCTGCCGTGCCCCCCAGCATGCGATACAGGCTGCAGAGGTCAGGCATCGCATGCTGGGGGACAAGAAAGGGATTCGGATAACGTGGAAGTTCAGCTAATAGGGTTTTGGATAAACGGGAGTATACTGTATTAGTACTCCCTGTATATCCCTGACCCCTTTATACTACAGAACTAGGGCATAAGGTAGGTACTTTTGAAATTGTGTGTGTTTGGTGCTAAAATGTGTTTAGGAGTTATCACAAAATTAGGTGCGCAGAAAAGCCCGAAATTTACAGGAAAATAAAAAAAAGTTAAGTTATTGCTCTCCTGGGCTCTGTTCAATCTAGGAAAATTAGTTGTCATTAACAGATTCCCCCATCAACTGGTGCTGAAAAGAGCTCAGTTGCTAAGTGTAGACGAGAAACTTGTTTTAATATCATTACAGAAAAGTTGACAGATACCAGTTTCTACTAGGTCTCTGTATCTATACCACTGGCATAGCAATATAAACTGAAATAGACTTTAAAAACAGATTCCTAACACAGCAGGTCCCATCACCTCTCTTATGAGTCCTCTCATATATTATACGAAGTGAAGAAAACTAAGACACAATATAATAACAATTACCAGAAATATTTTCTGTAAGGGGGTGAGAGGTTGAGATCATAAAAGACTTACTGTTTTGGTCTGCAAAAAATTTATTTGTTTCCACCCAGTCAGATTTCACTTGTCCTAGCTCAGCCCTAACACGTAAAGTAATTGTCCAAAAGCTTTTGATCTCTGGATGTGTGAAATTACATTCAGTCTTCGTAATGTTTGTGCAGTTAATTTCTTCCCAGTCATAGGCTATTCTGCAATACAAAATGAAGGAAGAATAAGTCAGTGGAATCACCTCGCTGCTGCATCTAGCACAACTGATTGATATTTCAGAGAGAGTTTTCTTTCTTTACAGTTTCTAAAGAATCAACATTTGATAGAAAAGTACAACTTTCAAGCAGTTTTACTCTATAACCATGCAACGCCTTCTCTCAAAGCATCTGAAACTCTTTTCAAAATGTAACCAATTAAAAATTTAATGAGACAGGGGACATTCTGTAAGCCCAGAGGCTGAATACCTTCAACTATTACAGGCCAGTAAGCCTGACTTCAGTACCGGGCAAACTGTCATGGGATCACTAATTGGTTAAAAGATAGGAAACAAAGGGTAGGGATAAATGGTCAGTTTTCAGAATGGAGAGAGGTAAATAGTGGTGTCCCCCAGGGATCTGTACTGGGACTGGTCATATTCAACATATTCATACATGATCTGGAAAAAGGGGTAAACAGCGAGGTGGCAAAATTTGCAGATGATAAAAACTACTCAGGGTAGTTAAGTCCCAGGCAGACTGTGAAGAGCTACAAAAGTATCTCTCAAAACTGGGTGACTAGCCAACAAAATGGCAGATGAAATTCAATGTTGATAAATGCAAAGTAAGGCACATTGGCAAACATAATCCCAAATATAAAATGATGGGAGTCTAAATTAGCTGTTACCACTCAAGAAAGAGACCTTGGAGTCACTGTGGATAGTTCTCTGAAAACATCCACTCAAATGTGCAGCAGCAGTCAAAAAAGCAAACAGAATGTTGGGAAACATTAAGAAAAGAATAGATAATAAGACAGAAAATATCATATTGCCTCTATATAAATCCTGGTACGCCCAGATCTTGAATACTCCGTGCAGGTGTGGTCATCCCATATCAAAAAAGATATATTGGAATTGGAAAAGGGCAACAAAAATGATTAGGGATATGGAACAGCTTCCATATGAGGAGAGATGAATAACATTGACTTTTCAGCTTGGAAGAGAGACAACTAAGGGGGGATATGATAGAGGTCTATAAAATCATGACTGGTATGGAGAAAGTAAATAAGGAAGTGTTATTTACTCCTTCTCATAACACAAGAACTAGGGATCACCAAATGAAATTAATAGGCAGAAGATTTAAAACAAAGAAAAGGAAGTATTTTTTTCATAAAACGCAGTCAGTCCGTGGAACTCCTTGCCAGAGAATGTTGTGAAGGCCAAGACTGTAACAGGGTTCAAAAAAAGAACTAGATAAATTCATGGAGGATAGGTCCATCAATTGCGATTAGCCAGGATGGACAGGGATGGTGTCCCTTTGCCTCTGTTTGCCAGAAACTGGGAATGGATCACTTGATGATTACCTGTTCTGTTCATTCCCTCTGGGACACCTGACATTCGACAGTGGCCAAAGACAGGATACTGGGCTAAATGGGAATGAACAGAACAGGTAATCATTGAGTGATCCATCATGTCACCCATTCCTTGACCTATCCTCCATGAATTTATCTAGTTCTTTTTTAAACCCAGTTCTAGTCTTGGCCTTCACAACATCCTCCGACAAAGTTCCACAGGTTGACTGCGTTGTAAGAAGAAATACTTCCTTTTGTTTGTTTTAAACCTGCTGCCTATTAATTTCACTTGGTGACCCCCTAGTTCTTGTGTAAGTGAAGGGGTAAGTAACATTTCCTTATTTACTTTCTCCACACCAGTCATGACTTTATAGACCTCTATCATATCCCCCCTTAGTCGTCTCTTTTCCAAGCTGAAAAGTCACAGTCTTATTAATCTCTCCTCAAATGGAAGCTGTTCCATACCCCTAATCATTTTTGTTGCCCCTTTCTGTACCTTTTCCAATTCCAATATATATTTTTTGAGATGGGGCAACCACAGCTGCACACAGTATTCAAGATGTGAGCGTACCATGGATTTATATAGAGGCAATATGATATTTTCTGTCTTATTATCTATACTGATGTTTAAAATAAGAACGCCCTGAGTATAAATAACCATGGGATTCAAGAAGAATATTAGCAAAGCTGGTTTGGAACAAGAGTGAAAAAAAATTGGGAAAAAGGAAGCATTTCATTCTTTTCCTTGTTTAGTGGAAATAATTTAGTCCAAGAACTTTGCTTTCCCTATTGTTTTCACATGTACCTGAAAACCTTTCTATTACAAACCTCACTTTGTACATATAAGCTTATACTTTTCTATTAGAATGAAACCAATTTAGTATACTGCAACTATTTACTTACGTACTATACTGGACCGTATATAACACTGAGCCATTGTCCACTTTAACAGGAGCCCATCTCAATAAATTCTGATAATTATATGAGTAAATTGTCACATTCTGTGGTGCTGGTAACTGGAGCGGAGATTCTAAAATAGAGAGAGAGAAAAACATCAAAACAGTAAATAAAACTTTCAATACACAGTAACTACAGATTTGAAATCACCTTTCCTCGTCTCCAAAATTCATGGAGACGTATTTATATAGCTTTGCCACAAACTTGCCCCTTTTCCCCCCCAACTACTGTAGAACAAGAGACCTCCCCACCCTCTGTTTCCAAGTGTACTATGCACCAATGCCCTTACATCTCTATTACCCACTATTATTGTTTTCTGCACTATTGCCTAATACTAGATACAAGCTACAGTTTGCAATAAATCCAATATCCTGAAGGAAGGATTTGGGAGAGGAAACTATAGGGGAAAAAATTTCACCTATAATAAAAATAAAGTGATTTAACTGACAGCACCACTCTGATACACAGGTCACCCAACACTTCCAGTTATAGAACCCTGAACCAGTTGTTTATAACTCTGCCAAACTTTAATTGTTTGGGCTGAAATTTTCCATGCTGGGTGTCTAGGTCAAGCTGAATCTGTTGGAAAGTTTCAGGCAAAATGGTTCAGCCATTTTCAAAAACAAGTTAGGAAAAATTCATGCAGCCATTTTATTGAGAAGCTCGAGTACCTCCATGCTTTGGAGCAGAGGAACTTGAAATTTGACAGGTGATGTCCTTTTGCCATTCTCATGAAAAAAATGCCCAAATTTAGCTAAATTACGACCCTTTGAACCATCTCAGTGTCCACATGCTCAGCAGACCTATTAGAGTTCTGGAGCTAAAAATCACAGAATCATAGGACTGGAATGGACCTCGAGAGGTCAGTCCCCTGCACTCATGGCAGAACTAAATATTATCTAGACCATTCCTGACAGGTGTTTGTCTAACCTGCTTTTAAAAATCTCCAAGGATGGAGATTCCACAATCCCCCAAAGCAATTTATTCCAATGCTTAACAATTTGTTTTTTCAGTTTGCTTTTTTTTAAAAAACTGGATGTTACACGAAAGAAAAATAACCACCACCCTAACATTAAAAGAACATTAAGGTTGCAAACTCAAGCATTCAAAAGTTAGGAAATGGCAGACATAAGGTTGCTTGTGCAACCCCTTGTGCATTTACAATACAGTATTTAATTATATGATCACATTTTCCAAAGGACTCTGCCTCAGTCAGTGCCCATGGACCAGGCAGATCACCCTCATTCAGTGCACAAGATAGACCTGCTCAATGGATGAATCAGGGTTGTGTAGTGAAGGTGGCTATTATCTGTAGGACCCCTTCTTCATTTGCTGCAGAAGTTGAAAGTGTGATAAATGAGGCAGGGGATTGGGAGGAGGAGAAAGGGCAGTTTCATGGTTAAGGCAGTTGAATGGTGCTCTGGAGAACAGGATTCTGTCCCTGCCTCTGAGTTCCCGAGTGATGCTGGGCAAGTCACTTCATCTAAACTTTTCACAGGTGGTCACTAATTGTGTGTTCCTCCTTTTCTGGGTGCCCAACTTGAGACTAGGGTCTGAGCTGCCAAAGTGCTGAGCACTCACAGCTGCAAACTGAAGTCAGTGGGTGAAGTGCTTTGGACACTAAGTACTCTGAAAAAATCAGGTCCCAGGCATCTCAAATTGGGCACCCAAAATTAATGCATAATTTTCATCTTAACCTCTCTCTCAGTTCCCATCTGTAAACTGGAGATAATACCTCCTCTCACCTCACAGCAGTATTGTGCAAATAACTTAATTTATCTTTGTAAAGCACTCAATGAATGCCACAGAAGAACCATAAGGAAATCAATAATTCAGAGTAGGGTTTGAATAAAGTGTAGTACATATGGCATGGGGCCACACTGGAACAGTAAGAAGAGAATAACAGGCTCCTTAAGTGGGCACCATCTATCCAGTGCACTGAATGAGGCAAGGTCCTGTGGGGAAAAAGTGTGATAATGTAATTAAAGACTGTATCATAATGCATATGCACAAAAGGGCCAAATTAAGGTTGCACAGGTAACCTTAATTCTGGCATTTCCTAACTTTTATGCTCTTGATTTTGTTCTTTACACTATTTAAGCACGTTGACATCTTCTGATGAAAAACATCATATAATAAAATAAAATAACTGGCTCCTATATAGCACTTTTCAGCTGTAGATCCAATAGATGTTATTTCATGGAGGATAGGTCCATCAATGGCTACTAGCCAAGATGGTCATGGATACAACACCATGCTCTGGATGTCCCTAAACCTCTGATTGCGAGATGCAGGGACTGGACGACAGGGGATGGATCACTTGATGATTGCCTTGTTCTGTTCATTCCCTTTGAGGCATGTGTCACTTGGCTGCTGTCAGGAGATGGGGTGTTGGGCTGGATGGACCATTGTTCTGACCCAGTATGACCATTCTTATGTTCTTATTTTCCTAATATTCAGATCCCATATAAGCATCTAGCTTTATAATTTGAATCAATGAAGATGGATTCAAGTATCGAAAGCTACAGTGGTCCCCAAGCATTGAGTTTTGTTCTGTATACAATGACAGATGGGATAGAAAACTATTGTACCTGGGCTGAATTAGTTTTTCACCTTTTCCCTCTCAATGCAATCTTGCAGTTGACTTGCTCACAGCATATGCAATGACTTTTATGCCTTTCAAAAGGTTGTCTTCTCATTTGAATGTGAAAATATCAAACATCCATACACTTATTCATAGATTCCAAGGACCATTGTGATCATCTAGTTTGACCTCCTGTATCAAGGCCACAGAACTTCCCAAAAATAATTCCTAGAACGTATTTTAGAAAAACATCCAATCTTGACTGAAAAATAGTCAGTGATGGAGAATCCATCACAACCCTTGGTAAATTATTCAATGGTTAATTACCCTCACTGTCAAAAATTTCCAGTCTGAATTTGTCTAGCTTCAACTTCCAGACATTGCACTCTCTTATACCTTTCTCATCTGGACTGAAGAGCCCATTATTAAATATTTGTTTCTCACATCGGTGCTTCTAGATTGTAATCAATTCATCCCTTCACCTTATCTTCGTTAAGCTAAATAGATTGAGCTCCTTAAGCCTGTCATTATATAGATCATGTTTTCTAATTCTTTAATCATGCTTGTGGCTAATATGCATTTGACAATTTCAGAGCTGTATTAATTTCTATTTTATTTCAAAAATCGTTTTCAATAAATATTTAATATTGACCCAGGGGAGATAACGTGTTTTATTTTGGGTAATCATATCTTGCCATAACCTAATGACAATGTACTAAAGAGCATTATTTTTGTGAGGATGTATATTTTAAACCAAAACAACAATATAACTATTACAAATCCCATATGATTGCATAACACCCCATATATTAGGCCAGTTCCCATGAGGTAATTTATGTTGTGCCTATGTATACTTATTCTAAAGTTCCAGTTAGATGTTTTATTATTCACTTCCTGTTTTCAACTTGTATTTTACTACACGTGGGCAACACGATACAAGCTGCGTACCAGTCTAGAAGTGGCTCCAGAGGTAGCTCATCAAAATTTGAAAATCAGTTTGGGGTCGTTTGGGATAAAGAAATGCTATGCAAATTGTTAATCTCACATTCATATAGTCACTTAGGCTTTGTCTACACTTAAAACATTACAGCAGCACTGCAGCTGAGTCAGTGTAGCACTTCAGTGTAGACACTCACTACAGCTTCAGGAAGGGTTCTCCTGTTGCTGTAGTCAATGCACCTCCTCGAGAGGTGGTAGCTATATCGATGAGAGAATTCTTCCTCTAGACCAGGAAATTAAGTTGGCATAACTATGTCACTCAACGGTGTGAAATATCCACACCCCTGAGCAACGCAGTTAAGCCAACCGAACTCCTAGTGTAGGCATGCTAGGTTGATGGGAGAATTCTCTCATCGACATAGCTAGCGCCTCTCGGGGAGGTGCAGTACCTATGCCAGGAGAAGCTCTCCATCAGCACAGATAGTCTTCATTGAAGAAATGCAGCAGTGCTGATGCAGCATTTTAAGTGAAGACCTGCCCCTAGTGCTCTCTACACTGGGGGGCTAGGTTGGTTTAACTATATTTCCCACGGGGTGTGGATTTTTCAGACCCCCATGTGAAGTAGCTAAGCCAATGTAAGTTTTCAGTGTAGACTAGCCCTTAGAAAACAGTATACGGGCAAGTTAAGCTAGGGAAAGTTAAGACAGGACTGGCAGCCTTGTGTTATGAAAGTGTTGTGATTTTTTTTTTTTAAATATCCATTTTTCATTCAAGTTCATATGATTTTTCTTATTATTAAAATAGATATAAACCTAGGTATATTACAGAGCCCATGCTAAGCCCAGCCTCTGCACATAAAATTAGGCCTTATATGATGCTTTCTATTTATCAGAATAGATTTTTTTTTCCTCTGGGTAGTTTATTGCTGTTTTGGCTTGAGGAGCAGAAATGCAGCTTAAGAACTTCAAAACCAGAAATTAACAAAACAAGTCAAAGGAACTAAGGGATAGTTATTGAGAGAGAAAAAATAGTTATAAAAAACTATTAGGCTTGCTAACAATTAGCATGTTTCCAAAGCACTTTGAAGACATTGGGAAGTACAATACAACCTGTACAAAATGTGTTGTAAAACAATTCCCATCCAGTTTTAATGAATTTCCAATAACTTTGTGTAATATGCCAAATGGTCTCATTAGTTAGGAACTTTTAGCGTATTAGCTTAAGAAGCCCTTCTTTAAAATAAATAATAATAATTCCTGAGTGCCCAGTCTCACTGCAATACCACAGAGTACATTTTTCCTGGTGACATTAACCACAAAACTTGCCTACAGGGCCTCTGGTATGTATAGAATTTTACTACATTTCCTGGTTTTGCAATGTTGTCTTTTTAAACTTGCAAACCTGGACAATACTGGGGAAAAATGTCTTTGAGCCTACTGCAGTTCACTTGATGTCACCAATATAGCACACTCTGGGCAAATATGCCAAACCCATGAAAAAAATGCAGAAATTGGGCTTGTTTTTGGCTTAACTGGCTTGTGAGTTGCTCG